AGGTTCGTCTTAAAACAAGCAGCCATCGAAGCAAGGTGTCACCTACATTCACACGGAAAAAGTACCGGCCTGTGCGATCCAAGGGTTATAAATAAAATATAAATCTGAAGGAGGAAACAGTATCAGAGCTTAAATTCCAAACACCAGTTTTGCAGAAGGCTATGAATGACAGTGGAAGACCAAAATCCATTTGGCAGGGATGCTGTGAATCCCCTCTAACCACAGTCCAGGAATGTGAACAGCCTTTTTATACAGACAGCATTACATTGTACAGTCAATTATGACAGATGGAGGTTAAACTGTAACACCTTATCATTTCATCTCTCTTTTGACCCATGTTAAAATTATTTGAGTTTTAAATATTTTCTGCTTTTTTTTGAGTGAGGTTTTTCTCTTTTGCCTAATTATTGTTGGTTTTTGGTTGTTTGCTTCCTGTTTATGTTTTATATGATTTTTTATATATGAAATCCAGGATAGGTAAAGCTAGAGACAGTAACTGGATTAAGAATGATTTAAGTGCATGGCTGGAGAGGTTGGCGGGGGAGCAATGGGGAGCTAACAATGGGTATAAAAAATTTTCTGAAATTGATTGTGGTGATAACAATATAATTAAATATGATTAAATTGCATGATGTATGAAAAAGAAAAAAATATAAAATTCAGCAAAATTCTCCCCTAAGATCTCATCCTTTTGTAGTACTCAATTAGCTAAGATGCGGCTTTTGAATATCTGCATCAAGATATTTTCCTGAGACCTGACATTATGCACCATGTGGCCTTGGTGGGACTTTGCACACTGTATCAATATAAGCTACAGCATCCAAAAGTGGTTCTTGAGCACAAACTCAGGAGCCAATTGCCTAGGTTTGTGTCCCAGTGGGCCATCTGACTAGTTCTGAGTTACACACAATACACCGGGTCTCTGTTTCCCCACATGTAGATTTGAAAGAACATGTGAACATTTAGAACAGTCATAGGTGCACAGCAAACACTATGTAAGAGATTAAGTCAGAAAACACTGTGTAAAACCACATAAGCTTTTACTAAACAAATATATGAAAATGCAAAGCTCGTGTTTCTCAATGTATCTTCCATCTCATGCAAGCTCAGTGTCATTGAGTCCATTCCGACTCCTGACAGCCCAACTCCTAGACAATTGCCAGCACCGCGTCCATCTCTCTAATCCTTCCCTGAATAATTCTGTGCACTTTAACTCACACCACTTCAAAATGGCAATTTTGACATTCACCAGGCACCCAAACTATAATCCTTTTCAATGCTGAGTCTGAAGGAGTCTGAAGGAGTAAGATCAAGGTTGTAAGGTTAATAGGGTAAGGTTTCCCAATGAAAGCCTCCTTGCTACCATCGAAGAATGAACATTTGCACTGCTGTGATTTAAAAAATAATAATACAACCCTTGGCACAACTTTCCTGGCCATTTTCTCATCAATATAGTTTTCAATGTTCTTAAAACTTCTTCCTAATAAGCCTCCAAGATTGTCTTGTTTCCCTTGAGACAATCTATCAGGAAGGCCCCTTTAAACCTCCAAAAACAGTCACCATAACCTTCTCAGCTGACCGCTCTGCATTGAATTCATCTTTGAGGTCGTCTCAGCCTTCCTTACATTTGATCATGCCTCTAATGTAACTGTTTCAGCATAAAAAACATCTTTTTTTTAAGGTACTCTAATGAGACTAACATAAGTGTATTATTGAGAAAAAATTGTCATCTGCTGATCACAACAACATGCTTAGACATAGTCTGCTTGGAATAAATCCATGGACCTCTGTAGCAATATGTTTTTAATCTCATTGACGTTAGTTATTAATATATTGCAAATTACAGATCACTACTGTATTATAGATTACAGATAACTTGCTTTGTATTTTACTTTTTCAAAGAGTAAGTCATGAATTACTTGTAGCCAAACATCTGCCTCGCTTGTTTAAAACGGAGACTTCTGAGTCCATCCCAAATGACCTAAACAGAATCTCTGGACCCAGCATTCAGGAATCTGTTTAACAAAAACCTTGATGATCCTAACCCTGTGTTACAGCTGGTAGTGCAGAGAGGGTAAAGGTAGGCTGGGGATGGGAAGCACAGGACCAAATGACCAAATGCCATGAGGATTGGAGAAGGATGGACAATGATCCAAGGGCTTTCCTAGAGGGTAAGAATCACTTGGACGACTGAAAATTGACACAACAGATGTGGTCCTTTTGCAAGTGTGAGGCTTATCAAAAAAGTTAGGCAAACACTGCCCTAAAGGTTTCTGTGGATTTCTAGCATCCCCCAACTCTGTTTAAATTCAAGGTATGCTAAGAGGGCTTGTCCTCCAGGAAAGAAACGAAGGATCAAGGAACCGATTCACTCATAAGCATTGAATACGCATTCCTGAGCAGCAGCAGCTCTGGTATCAAGGGGTCCCATGTTGAGCTGCTAATGGCAAGGTAAGCAGTACAAATGCACCGTCCTCGTGGAGAAAGATGAGGCTTTCTCTTCTGGTAGAGAGTTAGTCTCCGAACACCACAGGGGCAGTTCTACCCTGTCCTAAAGGGTCACTGTGAGTTGGAATCAACTCCATAGCAGTGAGTTTACTGAGAAATGGGTCCAAAAGTAGATGTGGTCTTGCTCTCTATCCATAAGAAACTTACTATATGATTAACTATAAAATCCCTATTTTATTACCTTATTTCCTTAAATGTGTTTTATACTGTGAAGCAAGTCATGGATGTCAAAATTAGTCTAGAGTAATTTTGTAGTCTAGAGTAGTACTTGTCAAAACATGGCCCCTAAACCTGGTGGTACCAACTTGTTAGAAAGGTGTTAACTCAGACCCACTGCATCAATCTCTCAAGATGGGAGGGTCCAGCAATCAGGATTTTAATAACACCAATGCTTGCGCATGCTAGAGACACCAGCCAAGCAAAGTGAATCCCTTCAGCAGTTTCTCTACTGATTTTCTGATTACTGCCAGTCTTTTGCTTCCTTCCCAGCCCATTGATCTCTCCCCTCTCCACCCCATATCCATTCCATCAGATTCACAAAAATAACCTACACATTTCGAAAAGAACACAAAACTTTATTAAGAACATCTTATACTGTTATCAATACATTCAAAGAAAAGGGGGTAAACAGACAAGGGCTGTTCCGTGTGCACTGCCACTTCAGAACACACTCAGGTGGGATTACGCTCAGCTGCAAATGCTCTGCTGCATAAATAAATCCAGTAACACAATGTATCCTTTCTGTACAGAGAAGAACTAGTTTACACTTTAAAAAACTTTGATATAGTGCAAAGATGATGAAACAAGACTATATCTTCAGGAGCTGTTTCTTAATAGAATACACAACAGTTTAGTGGTTTGGTGCTATTTCAGATAATGCTACATTTTGGGCGAAGGAAAATTCAGAAGGAACATTTTAACCTTTCCCATGAATTCAATTGTACCTCTGGGTAGTCCTATCACCGAACCAGTTCACTGACCATCCTTTAACAAGGGAAATGCTCCCCTACAGTGATACTGTTCTTTTAATTGCACACTATCAGTCTAGTCATGCCAGTTTCCAGCTACTGTTGATCCTGAAGGATTTATTACACAAAGGCCCCTGTTCAGAGTGAATGTGAGAAGCTGTACTGAAGCAGCTGCCTTGGGCTGGCTCTTCTCAGCCTCCTGCACTTCCAATTGTGCTTCTTCTACTTACTGTAGTGATGAGAGGAGCAGGGAGCACCTGGAGTCTGCTCAGACTGCACTCCACAAAGCTCTCTGCACGGTTGGTGGGGCGCAGCATGAGGGTACCTGTTCACACCACTTACCCCTGCTGTAAGACTGGTGACAGGTAGGGCCAGGTCAACCTGTATTCAGAGATGCATGATTTGCCTCAGGTGCACGGAAGAGAAAATGCTCATGATTTAATCCTGTTTCATAAGACGGCTTCATCTTCCTTTTAGAAATGACGACTATTTATCACTAAGGCTGACCATGTGAATGATCATAAGGCTAAGAACATGACTTTTAAACTAGACCACATTGTTTGTGTCTATGGTTACTGAGTAAAGCCACAGCTGAGGGTCTATGGAATATTGGCTGGGGGGGTAGGGACATGAGGAGAATGAGGGTGGGTTTCAGGTTCATGAGTACTGTCACTTATAAAACCCATCACGCTTTTTAAAAAAATAATACATTTTTATCATAAATATTTTGAGCAGATAATGGCATTAAATTCAGTATCTAAGTCAGAGGTCTGTCTTACACAGTGAAAATATTTCTACTCCTGATAGATTTCAAATCTCCCCAGAAGCATAAACCCTTAAGGTGTATACACTTTACAAACTAGTTTTAAGGGTGGTGGTGGTGGCTATGTTGAATGGATAAGTTACCCCTTTAGCAGATCATAAATAAGATGTTGAGATGTTGAAAATAAGCTGGCATACTAACAGACTTTGCTTACTTGGTATAACAGGTTGCCAAGGGTTTATAATTGTGCATGTTACCCTCCCAGGCTCAATCTTTTCCTTCAGTTTCCTACACCTAGGGACAGAAGGGCCTACTACAGGAAGACCCAACTTGACACCCCAGAGCATGAATCTGGCCATGGCACCCCCTTTGCTTTATTAGGGTGATGTCACAAATGCCCAGACCAAATCTACAGTGAGTAAATGTCAACCAACAATGCAAGTTAAGCACATTTCTGGTGATGTGGACTTGGTCCTACGTTGAGCTTCCGGTGTTAAGTGTCCCCAGGTCACCCACAAGTTGAGCCTGTAAAATACTTGAGACTGGAGCCCATGTCTCTAGCTGGGGACTGCTTCTAGGTGGCACAGTTGTGGGGAGAGGCCCAACTGGTAGCAGCACTGTTGGCCTGTCTCTTCATATGTAAATTTGTTTGCAAGGTAGCTTACATCCTCTAATACTGAGAAAGAAACAGAAGGAAGCCACTCAGACCAGTGAGACATCATTGGTTATGGGATTTTAAAATGAAACGTTTTATTGACTATTCTAATTTAAATCTGCTTACAACACAAAGAAAAATGTCTAGTATGTGAAGCAATAACTGAAAAAAATATTTATACTAAGTCATTATTGGATACAAATCCACCACTACACGGGGTGTGCCTTAAAATGAAAGCATGAGAGCATGCAACTATTCTAACACACAGGGTTAAAAATAAAAGGTGTAAGTACATTTGTTTTGGTAATTCTGAATATACAAATATAGAATTTACCAGATTTACCCTGTAGTGTCGCACTGCTTCATTTCCAAATGTATAGGCATTCAAAAACCTCGAGGAAACATTAAACACGTCCCAGGCTACTTTACGGAGTATCATGAAATATTGTGATCTTGAGCTATTAGAGCTAAAAATTACAATTGTTTTTAAAGCTACATGGCTAAGGGAATAATGAAAGTATCATTCTTTTACGCTTTTTAAAATCCCATAGATAGCTTTATGTTAAAGGGATCATCTATGTTCAAAGGAGGCTGAAATGACAAACAGGTATCAGTTCCAGAATCAAAGGTGTCCTTTGGGTGGTGTGTCAAAATGTTTCACATGTCCAAAGCATTTCCACATTAATCTACCCAAATAATTCTAAATAGTTCAGTCAAGGAAGTCTTTATGGCACACGCCTTTTTCTACTTTAGTAGCTGCAATGGAATCTCTATTGTAGAAAAAGGTTCTTGTTTGGATCTGACTCTCAAGTTGACATTCATGTCTAGTGGTACGTTACTGACCTCTGGGGAATAAGGAATCAAAGGCATTGAGAGGCACAAAACTGACATTTTGGTTGGGGAGAAGGGTGAAGATTAAGTTAGACATTTAGTCCCTTCTACAATCAAGTCCTGACTATACCATAATAAAGTCTCAACTCATTCCTGATTAGTTCTTCTCCTTTAGAAATTACATAGTACACAGTGATCAGATACTGAAGAAACCAAAGAAAAAAACATTCAAAAATACATGAAGAAATAGAAACATAGAATTTCTCACAAGGCCCTGGATCAAAAAAATTTACAAAAAAATCTTTTGAAAATAATCACTATTTGGAAGCTTATTAATACACAGATATCATCATGTTGTTTAAACTAAGTCATGTTAATTTACCAATAAAGTAGTAAACAAACCAATATCTTAAAACAATTTTATAAATTACGCATTCCTTTTGTTAGTGTCACCCTCTCAACAATATACAAAAATAATGCTACAGGACTATTCTTCTAACCTGTCTCCATTTCTTGCAAAGTCCTGGTGCTCTGGGAAGAGACCGGTCATCAATCTTCACTGTAGATGTCCCCCGCAAAAGGAAGGTGCATGTGGCTCCCAGTGACATTAGGCAATCGAGATAAGTCTGGCAGGCTCTGGATCCGGGACCTGAGTTCTTTGCGCACCAGGGAAACTCTGGCTAACTTGCGCTTATATTCCTGCAACATTAAACCAGTTCCATTAGCATCATGGGGGCTCACTGGAGCGGCACCTAGCAAATGTTCTGCATAAGGTCTGGTACTGCAATCGGTAACGTCAAAGAAAAAGATCATTACAATATACATTTTAGGGTCAAAAGAGAAGCTTTAGAAATGTGTAATAGGTAACTTGATATTATTTTTAAAACTACAATCTTTAGCAGCTGTTTTGCACCTATAGAAAGAAGATAATATACTTAATATATAAAGCGTATCATATTTTCAGGGATCACTGAATTTGGATAAAAAAATCACTTACTTTCACAAGCCTCAACTGAAAGTTAGCCCTGTTTTCCCCTGAGTGGTGGAAGGAAGCCATAGGAGCATGTGTTCCAGGAGAAACTTGCTGTTTTCATACTACATCATGGTATGCTATTAGCGATCCTAAGACACTACTTGCATTTATCACTACTTTGAAGTTCTTAGACCCACCACCATGTGTATGCTTTGGTAAAGAAATGCTTTAGTTCACGTTACTCTGATAATTGCACATCAACATAACTCGTTTCCTTTGCATATAAAGATGTTAATTTGAGAGAGTTTGCGGCTTTATCACACTACCCAGGGACTACAATGGCACATGAAAAGGTTAAAAACCAAACTGCCCTGCAAGCAGTCATGTTTGGGTCAAAAGAAAAACAGCCCGTGTCTGTAGTGGGACAGGCTCCTTTCAACTGAGGACTCCAGACATGGGCGGGGTATGGCAGCCAGGGTAAAAGACTGCTAGAATATGGCTATTCTCCCTCTGAGACTAGATCCGTTTCCTCCCTGCTACCAAGGCCAGGATTCACAAACTAGACAGAGCACGCGAGCAACACATTTTTCATCCTATCTCCCAAAGAGCAAGCCCCTCTTAGTCAGTGCTTCTAAACCATGACTGTACATCACAATTATGTAAGTAACTACAAAGAGAATTCTAATCCCCTCTGGACATGGGCCCAGAGCATGTGAATTTTGCAAATACCACTGAGGCTGATAATAAAGTCAGAGATGTGAACCATTTCTCTACCTAGTCTTTCTGCCTAAAATGAAGTCAACAAATGAGGCACACTTCTATTACTGAACCTCTTCTTACAACCCGGAGGGTTCCAGGAAGCTTGCTAAAATTAGCATAACTGTTAGAAGCAAAATGCTCCCAAAAAATAAGAGAACTCTGGGAAACAGCATGCTGGCAACACTGAAAGCTGGCAAAGTGGAGACAGTTCTGGGGACAGGAAAGAGCAACTCTTGCCATGTTCGCGTGTCCCTGCATTTCTAATCTATCATCCAAGTGTAAGCAAAACAAAATTCCTTGCAATGGAGTCGATGCTGGCTTATAGTGACCCTATAGGACAGGGTAGATCTGCCCCTGTGGGTTTCTAAGACTAACTATGAGAGCAGAAGTCTCATCTTTCTCCCAAGGAGCAGCTGGTGGTTTCAAACTGCCGACCTTGCAGTTAGCAGCCCAATTCCTATACTAGGGTGGAGTAAAATTATAAAGTTTAATAGGGATCTCTTTTAATCTCAAAGCATAATTCTCTTCTTCCCTTCTCTCCTTTACCAGTAACACAAGAACACCAAGTAGCTTTCAACATGGTCAGCTCAGAATAGCACACAGAAGATAGACACTGCTATTTCATATTCTGGATGTATACTTCTTAGCTAGGCTCTCTTACGTCTCCTTTGAACTGGCTTTGGCTTTTGATCCACATTTAGCATGTTATTTCTCAGAACATGCTTGTAACAGGCAAACACATAGATTGGTCCGTATCATACCAGCAAGTCCTTGTTCTCAGTGGAATAATAATAACTAAGATACTTCCGAGTCAGCAGTTTCTGTCCAAACATGTTTGAAGACAATTTACCTTCTGCTCCTCTTAGGCTATGTGCTTTGAGAAATGTCTTTGTCAGTACTGTCCACTCTAGTTTCCAGCATCACATAAAGAAGTCCTTGTGTGGTGCTCGTGGTTTAGTGTTGACTTCTAGCCAAATGACTGGCAGTTTGGACCTACCTTGGCAATCTGCTTTCCAAGATCTTGAAAACTATGGATCAAGTCTACTCTGCACTTAATGGGTCACCATGAGTTGGAATCAATACAATGGCACTAGCAGCTGCATGGGACGGGTTTATCTTAATCATGTGATTCAAAATGCATGTGGCAATTAAAAGCCTTCAACAGGCATATACTACTACAAATAGTAAACAAAGGTTGCCACCTGTTTAATGTGAATTATGTATAATGTATTTTAACATGAACTCAATCTTCTCAATAGTCCTAAGAGAACTGGGATTGTCCTCTATGAACATAAGGATCTATAACCACCCCCAACTCACTGCCATTAAGTCAGTGCTGACTCGCAGCGACTCACAGGGCAGGGTAGGACTGCCTCTGTGAGTTTCGGAGACTCTACTCTTTACCTGAGTAGAAAGCCCCACCTTTCTCCCTTGGAGCAGCTGGTCATTTTGTAGCCCAGTGCATAACCACCAGGGCTCCTGAGCCCACTGCAGTGGAGTCTATTCCAACTCATAGGACAGAGAACTGTCACTAAAATATGAGGGGCAGGGCAAGTAAACGAAGTAACTTGGAATGGGATTAGTTGTGGAATCATTATGGAAAGCTATCAGATTCATCCTGCAATAAGACTCACTACAGGAATAAACTTCCTGGTTCTTATTTTGGGGTTGACCCTGACATATCTTAATTCCAGTTGCTTTAATCTTAATGATTAATCTATTTTTGAAGTTAAATATATGGTGCCCCCCTTTCTTTCAAATGATAACAATTCTTTCTTCTCAGCATCTGTGGTGGAAAGAGGGCTAGATGTGCTAGGATTTTTTTTCCCCTTTGCAAGAATCAGTAAGTCCAGTATGATGTTTAAAGAACCCCAATCATGCCTCCCTGTGCCCCTCCCCCGAGGTTTTTTAAACAATGGAGATAATGATGATAAAACATTGTCTGAAACTCAATTGCTTCAGTTGTGGCTATTTCAAATTATTTTTATTCTTACCAGTCTTCGTAATAACTAAGTACTTCAAAATTAAAATAAGTGGGATCTTGGGTCTTAAGAGAATAGTTTACCGTTGAAGGTAAAGCTAGTGGTGTCAACAGTCTTCACAATGTATTATAGAAGCAGGTCATGGTAATCTTCACAACCCTGTTGCATTTCTTCTCCTTGTTCTTTGACATGTGGCATTTCACTGTCTTTTGTTTCTTAAGAAGAAACTTCAGTCTTTCCTTTTCTCTCTGGTGCAGAAACCTGGGATTAAAATAAAGTCTTTCTAACATCACTGCTTTAACTATTCTGAATTTACGGCTCTCATTTTAAAAAAACCCCAATTTACCTTTACTTCATTTTGCTTTCCCTATGACAGGTGCTCTCTAGGAGGATAAGTGGAAGCCCCAATGGTGTGGTGTTATGTATGGGACTAGAATCCTCAAGGTCAGTAGTTCACAGCTATCAGGGCTGCTTCATTGGAGAAAGATGGGGCATTCTACTCCTGTAAAGAGTCTCAGAAACTCACAGCCTCAGTTCTTTCTACCCTGCCCTATGGGGTCACTGTAAGTCAGCATTGACTTGATGGCACCAAAAGATTATGTAAATGGGAAAAATTGGTCAAGATTAAAAAAAAAATTGAGGACATGCCATCATGTTAGGCAGCTGTGACTGGTCAAGTCATTTATCATCCCCAGGGGCCACAGCTCAGTGGCTTGCTCTAACTTGCTTTCCAAAAAACAAATGCTCAATCTTAAGCTTGTGATCTAACTTTAGAATTAATAGCTTTGGGGCTTTAAAATTTAAAAATGCAGCAAAACCAAAATCCTTTTCAATCAAATGTTATCCTGCTCCTTAATGGAAAGGTCTCTGAGCAGGGAGTCTATACATGAATCTTACAGGGCACACTGTCCTCCTTTTTGCAGCTTATTTGGGGCTTTTATTATTCACTCACAGGAGCCCTGGTGGCGCTGTTGGGTAACCACGAGGTCAGCAGATCAAATCCACCAGGCACTTTGTAGGAGAACGATGAAGTCATCTGCTCTCATAATCATCTAAAACCCTGGATCCGTATGCATAGTCACTAGGTTTCAGAATCTACTCGAGGGCAGTGTTTTTTGGGGGATTTATCTCAAATAAGCCACTGTAAAATTAAAGCAGACTTAATTTTACTTAAAAAATATCCTTCCGTTATTCCAAAGTTTTAAAACAGAATTACTATAAAGTCTTTTAGATTGTTAACAAGCAAGTGGAAAATAAACTTAATGGATTTCTAAGAGCTAGATTTCCTGCAAGGAAACCACTGTCTACCTGGCTCTTGACCGGGTTTTAAAAAATTGCAATGAGGGTCATGTTACCAATAGGCATTACACCCCCTAGCTATCAATCTACCTCACCCAACAGCTACACTTTTGATGTTACTAAATGCAAACCACTGTTGAAGGCTTTCAAGTTAATACTTACAAGTAAAGATTATGCCAAGCCTATGTAACAGATGAAGAAACGAAAGTACATTGAACCAGCAGGGGATTTCCCCTAAAGTCAAAGGGTTCAAACCTGGCTCCAGAATAATCATACGTATTAACCATTCTACCAGCCTGCCTCTCTTCAAGGAGCACTATGAAGTACATATAAGCTACAGGATCAATGACAATCATGCCCCTACAATTAAAATGGTCACAAGTCAAACTGATCGTGAATTACATGGAAGCCTATTTCTACCATTAAAATGTCCCTGGCATTCCAGTTAGAGTTGTCATTTTCTCATGAATAAAAAATATGGGCCTAGAAAAGGATTTTCTTTTTTGAGAGACCAGTAATAGTGATAGCAGCAATATCGAGCAGACAAAAGAAAGAGAATCAGGGAAAAAAGGCAAGGAATCGGTCCAAGTATCAATGGGTGCATAAGAAAGCTGAACCTAACAGCAGTCATCAGTTTGGACCATGGAAGTTAAACCAGAAGTTAACAGGAAAGATATGGCTTCGGT